AACTGAAGCTTCAAGAACCCTTCTGATCTTCAATAATCGTAGCTAGCCTCCAGAAAGTGTTAGGGTTTCGGGCATAGATGTTATCTATTTATAGTTACCAAAAATCAACCCAACTCGTCGAGTTTTTAAGAATAACTCGACGAGTTTTTTCTACAATCCGCGTATACGGCGTGTACGACAAGGCATCTTTGAATCTGGAACATTCTGACCAACTCGTCGAGTTGAGGCCCAACTCGTCGAGTTCACTTAGAATCAACATTTTCTCAAAACACGAAAGTCGTGTGTCTAGTTTTCAGAACATTTTGAATCTCGTCAATCGGAGTTACGGTTCATGAGATATGGCCAAAACACTGACGAGGGGTCAAGCTGTCCAGCAACATCCTTCTTTCTTCAGTCTTCAATCTCCAAGCTTCCAATCACTCAATCCTCTTCCTTTTTCACCCGAGCATGTCTTTTATTACTGAAATTGAAATAGTAAGCTAATTAAGTACCTTTTGTCCATAAAATGATATAAAAACAACATAAAGTATTAAGATAATGCATGAATTTTTATAACTAAATATGCCCATATCACTCGTCATAAGGTGTGAGATCACCAAATAGCCCCATGTATAACTTTTTTAGCATTATTGTCACTAAACACTTAAAAGTAGATATGCATCCTTAAATAACAATAAATATTCTAAAAAACAATTATTTGCCTCTGTTAAATCGACTCTCAAACACATGTTGAATCGCCTCATAGACAACCGTAATAATTATCCTTATCGATTAATCTTGTATACCCACTGATAACCTTTTCACAACCACCTGGAATATCAAATTTCATTACATTGAAACAAACTCTAGCAAAAGGGTCATTGACCATTTTGCAAGAGCAATATTGTCAAGCTAGAAAAGCTCGTTACCAATAATCTGATTGTTGATTGCATGTTGAAGTCTACCCAAACACAATTAAAAATAAGACATTCTATAAGTTTTGCATGTTTGCCAAAACAACTATTCCACTACTATGTCACGACCAATCCTAGCTCGTAAATTCTTAGCTACATTCCCATGAAGTTTTGCCTGTTTTTTAGAACAACTATCCCATACGCAACATGCAAAATTTAGTTGTTTCCGTCCATTGTAACAACCAACAACATGGTGCCATTCAAGTCACCCTTAAGGTGGCCGTGTCTACGATGAGGGCACGCCGATAATTTTTGTGAATGCCCGTAGCTACAACACAATCAAAACAAGTTAGCAAGCGAATGATAATTATATAAACATTGAAATTAATCAAAATAAGAGAACATACGTATGATAACTATATAAACATTGAATATAAGCAAATAAATTAACAAACGAATGATAACTAAATAGATATTAAAATTAATCAACATAAGTTAACAAACAAATGATAACTATTAGCATGCAACCAATTGAGAGGAAAAAAAATCAAATTGGTCTTCATCAGATGTTTCAATGTATGTCACTTATCCAAAATTATACCTCTCCAGTTTGTAACAATATATGGGGAGTCTAGAAAATGATATTGCATGAGAGCCCCTTAGAAGATTAAACACATACATTGTTTGTAGAAAACATGAATATTATACCTCAAAGTGAAATCTTGTTGGATATCCCTTCTATGGTAGACTGTACAATGATCATTACCCAACAACTCTGCAACTAATTGTCCCAACACTTTTTTGCTTGCTTGACGATGGTTTGGGTTCAATTGTTCTGAAAAAGAAGTGTGTTGGTCCATAAGTTTGCGGACTTGGAACATGCTATAGTTGTCCAGTTTTACAGATGAAATAGACCAATGGCAATTTTCATCACAACATGCTCCATTGAACCTATTTTTTTTGTAGATATGATAATTTTGTACTGAAATGCCCCCTCTATACTTTTTCAGTTCTAGTTCTAGTAGTAGGGTGTATTTGTATCTATTTTGTAGCGGTTTTATCGTATATGCAGGGTTTTCGATGTCTAATGGAGTGGTTGAATACATCAGGTCAAGGTCAAGACATGCTCGTATATCAGGCATACCAAAGAATGGTCTTTCTGTGTAATTGTTTACTTCAACCAACCATTCATTTTTAGAATCATTTGCTTCTAAATCTGATATACCAAAACAAAATTCATCTTTGACTCCTTAATTTCTATATAATCATCATTACCACCTTCATTATAACATGTACAAGCATCAACAACATTCATGAGTGTACTATAATGATCATCATTGTTACATGTAACATTATTAGCATCATTGTTACATGTACGAATCTCAACATCATTTTTATCTGTGCCAAGATCATCATCAACTAAGTATTGATAGTTTACTGGATCGACATAATGAATTTGTTGTTCTACCTGCATTTGATAAGGACCTATCGCGTTTGATACGATGCTATCAGTGTTTGATATGGTACTACCGATGTTTGAAACAGTACATCATATCCAGGATTGGCAAATTGAATTTGTCGATACGTATACATGTTTTCATAAACAACTTATAGATTGAATTGTTGTTGTATATGTGTTCCATATGCAACATATCGACCAAGATTCTAATGATCGTTTAGAGAGATAAAGATACATTCTTGATTGTTGCTACCTTTTCCGCTAGAGCGGTTCTCATCATAGCTTTTGCCTCTTATGCTACTCAGGCCTCTTCTGTTGGACTGGTTCCTACCACCAACAGATTAAGTTGTGGAATTGTATTAAACAATTTGTGCCACTTCCATAGGATCATTATCCACCAGATACAAATGTACACGAGTTGGAAGTTGATGAATATATATAATTTTTTTAATATTTCACATCACCCTCATTAACTATCTTTATAAGATACTTCAATGTAGGTTATGGAAAGACATGCTGATATTAGGCATATCTCCAAAACATGTCTTTTGTTTGTGTGGCTACGTCGGGTTTTGTAAATCGGTTATTCGGTTGTTGGTTCTAGCTCGTATATCCTTTGGGTGTGCGGCATGGTTGGATTCCGACTATAACACCTGGGCAACAATAAGAAAAAAAGACCGTTAAACTTGCCCCAAGGATTGTTCCTCGGGAGCAAGCTCTGACGATTAAGTTAGATCGTTAGTGTAGAGAGAGTCAACTCCACCTAGCGGGATGAATCTAACTGTGCGGAGACAGAGATGTCTCCATAAAAGAGTTGAAATGAGTAAGAGACACTTAGCTGGAGTGTTGAGATGAGTTACTATTTATAGGAAGAGAAAAGAAGCCCTTGACAATATTATATTAGTTAGTGTAGTAGTCTAATAATATGATATTGGATTTTATGTCCTTGCCATATCTTATTTTACGGTGCAGGAATATAGAGAATCGTTTTCCAACTCCATAAACCATAAAAAAAGCACAAATAGAATACTATTTTGGAATATTTAAAGTCATGTTTTCTTTAACAAAATCAGAAAAGGATAATATGGTGAATTTTGCTAACAAAATCAGACAAAAAAACTAGAAAAATTTGCTGTCAAATTTAGAGAGTGAAAAGTGGAAAACATTTTTTAACAAAAAGATGTCTTATAACATAACCATAATACACTGTATGTATTTTCATAGTACATACTATGCTTTTCGTAGTTCACTAGATATGACAATACATGTTTTTTTTCTAGAAAGAATAGGCTTTTGACCGATTTTCGCAGATGATTGAGATTTTTGCAGGTCCCCGACCACTAGCAAAAATCTACATTTTTGCAGGTGCATGCGAAAATTAAAAAATAAATAAATCATAGGACATCTATTTTTTCGCAGATAGTGACTTGCGAAAATTATGACTATTTCGGTCAATTTGCTAATCGTTGATTATTTTATAGAAATAATATGTAAGATTAACCAAATTTATCATTTTCTATTAAATATTTTGAAATTTGATTAGGTCCAGTAACTCAATATTTTTAATAATTATTCATCGACGTCACATTTTTACATTATTATAGTAGAAATACCTAGAAAATTAATTACGGGAGTAAGTACTTTGTATATTAACGTCTACATAATATTTTATAGATAATGCTTAACCTGAAAGCTAAACTCACGATTATAAGTTAGCTTAACTATATATAAATATGTGTACAAACTTAAGTTTGTTCTTGATAGGCATTTAGGATCACAAGATATACATATTTAGGATACGCCAAATATTGTTTTGCACAATATTGTTCTTGAGATGTATTTAGGATCATAAGATATACCTCAAATGCGTATAAATTTATAAACATCTTGTATTTCTTTAAGTGTTTCATTTTAATGATATAAATAAATCAGCAAATTAATAGGTAAATTTGAATCTCTTTTGACCAATTTCATTGGTACATGAGTAGTCAATTGCTTGAAGCTTAAGGATCACAAGTAATGGACCATTACTAATGGTGGTGGTATGGGGGAGTGCATATCTATAAGTCAATGGTCATCGGGAAAACATAATCGAAATGCAATTTCCATGACAAGCCCTTCATAAAGTAAGTTTTTTTTTAATGCTTTCCATTGAATTAATTTATGGAAAACATATAAAACGATTTGAACATGCTTCACCAAAGTAAATGGAATGAAACATGCATTTTAATTTATATACCATGTTTATATTTAGTTATTATGATATAATAAAAGTTGTTATATTTAGTTATACCAAACCCTATTTGTTATTTTAGTTGTCCACTACAATTAACAAACAAAATCTCTTAAAAAAAACGTATTATTTCCAAAAGTAATATTACAACATAATATCAACAAATAATCCAAAAATGTCAAACTCCAAACATATTACAAAAGAAATAGACCTCCCAAATCCCAATTTTAATATTTTTATTTTCAAATAAAAAAAGTCACACAATGTATGTATTTCTGTACACAGCTTTCAAAGAATCTCTGAATCGACATGTTCACCAAAAATTACAACAAAATGATAAAGTATAAACCAAAAGATTCTATTTTTTTTTCTTTTCTTAATGAAATTAAATTAAATAATTAGAGTTATCAATCATTCAATCCAACGGTTGATATTGATTCTTATGCTGATGAAGATCGTACGGCTGCCAGAGATAATCCAACGGACAAGGTCTCCTTTCATCCAGTCTGACCCACGGCTTCCCTTTGCCACTCCAATGAAGCAAGCTCACCGGACCGGAATGTAGCGACCGACAGCTGCCTTTCACGTTATCTCCGCCGAGCCCATGTTGGTTCCAGCGGTGGTGAATCGGCTCAATGTTACCGGCGAACACCAGTAGAAACGGCGGCAAGGAACCCAAGTCGTAAATCCTTTTTTTTCTCTGCAATTCCATCCAGTTTTCGATTCGCCGGCGATAGTTCCCAGCTCTCCATTTCACCATATCCATTACCATCACACCGGTGTTGAAATAACATGGATTCTTCGATGCGAATACCCGAGACATTAACGGGTCGGACCAGAACGTTTCTGTGAAGTATTTCGTGAAATTCGCGTGGCAATACTCCGGAGCTCCGATCACACGGTTGTTCTGCAAAGTGATGCTCCACAGCTTGTTAATGTCGTCGACCAAAACGACATCGGAGTCGAGGTAGATAACCCGTTCAACATTCGGGTCGAGAATTTCGCCCAGATAGTTTCGGGCGTAGTTTAACGGGTTCTCGAGAGCGACCCGGATCGACGACGATATCAGATTGATCACTGTATCTTCCCGGAAAATGTAGACTTTGAAGTTGAGAGAAGGGAACGTATTCCGGACAATCCGAGTTAAGACCCGTGGACTCGCACGGTCGAACTCGGCGGCGATGATGTGGAAAAACACGTTTTCTGGGCAAGAAGCATGGCGGAGAACGGAGTGGATGGCGGCGATTGAGCCACGAAGGTACTCGGAATCGAGTGTCATTGCGATATGTATAGTTTTGTTTGAGCATTCGACTCCGTTACGATACTCCGGCGCTTCCGTGAAGCTAATCAAATCCGTTCCGACCTGAGCCAAGATTTCTCCGTTCACCGGAAAAGAACGAATCCCAAAGCACACCAACGGGAGAGAGAGAAACAAAAAGCCAGCGACGACGGCGAACACCACATCGCCGTTTGACGGCTTCCCGTGAAACCGATTTCTACCCATCTCCGTTGGTTAATGGATCATGTACAATCAATGGAGTCTCTCTCTCTCTCTCTCTCTCTCGCGATGACTTTCTTTGAATATATATACAGGGTTTAAAGATAGGAGGCAGCGCGTGTAGTTTTCGTTTCATCACGCGCGGTTGTATTACACGCGCTGGTTAGGTTAATATGCTTTTATGATAAAATGACATAGTTGGTAGTTTATGTACAGGTATTTTTTTTCCCAAAACGATAATTACTAAAATATATAAAGTTTCTGAAATTATCTTGATTTTATATTAATTATATATTTTTTTTATAATTTAAATTATATAATTGATGAAAATGTCAATGTTAAGATAAAAAAACAATAAAGAGCAATAAGAAAAAATGATATTTCATGAGTATTTTTAGCTTATTTATAGAAAACAAATTACTTTGAGTTATTAAAAAGATTAATAAAAATAGGTCAAAGTGGATGTATGTGTGAAAGTTGACCCAATGTATTTAATTTTTACGTCTTTTAACCCATTTTAGGTTTTACAAAAGCAGTACTTTTTTGACCCCTCGAATAGCCGGTCCATTTTTGTTAAATCTAAGAGTTAATGTCTATAATAATTTTTTATTTACTATAACTATTTCTTTCTATATTTGGTAAACTATATATTTTTTTATCATATTCAACAATATATACAGATATTGGAAACGGATTAATTTAACGTTTTTCCTTAATGAGATTTGAAAGTAACGAAATATTAAACGGATTAACTTAGATTACCTTTATTTAATATTCGTTGAGCACAATAACTTTTAGAAGCATCATCCACGTTAGAATTTATGATTCCTATGTAGATAATGATAAGTCATTGTTAAAAATAAGAAATTTCAGAAAATTTTCCAAACAAATACTAAATGACAATTAAAACCAAAATCATAATCCCCAAGGATAGTTGTCGTAGTCTGAGAATTACTAAGCAACGGCAAGCTTTATTTTATTGAAAGGATCATAAATAAAATATTTTGGAATTCAAGTATAAACTTGTGTTATTGTAGATTTAAAAATGCTAAGAGTTTGAGGTTGTAACAACACAACAAGAAATAACATTTTATAATATGTAAACAAAAAACGTTGATCTTAATTTTCATATTTAATCATAAGTCATTATTCTGAAAAAAAGGATATATAAGAGCATTTGCAATTGTCGATGAGATGTATAATATTTTTTGTTCTTTTACATCACTTTTTTGATTAATTTTAACAAACAAATAGCTATTAACTTAAATTCTTCAATATCCTTGAGCAATTTAACTATTAACTATAATATAATATAATTAACTGTCATGTTTATGAAATATTTTATAAAACTCGATCATCTAGTTTTTTTCATATGTAAAAATTTTAAAATTAAAAATTATTTAATCAACAACAACAAAACGTTTGTACTCCCCTTAGATTAAGGTAGAAAAATAGAAAAAAAAAATAGTTAACAATAACATCAAATAAAATCAGTACATAAATAACAAAAGTAAATAGATAATGTTAAATCTAAAATAAAAAATTAATAATCATTATAAAATTATGATAGTTAGATTAGATAGGGGAAACAAAAGTTATTGGATAAATAAAACTTATTGCATAAAATATTAAACTATAAAAATATTTATCATAATAAAAAAAAAGTTTGATATTATTAAAAAAAACACATGGGGATGATTCTTCTTATTATTCCAGCTTTTAAAAAACTTCTTCGAATATAAATAATATTGAAAAAAAAAAAGTTAACCAAAAATAGGCTGTGTTCTTACGTGTTGTTTCGTATTTTATAGAACTCAACTTTTATTCGTTATATATGCGAATCTTGTTTTTTGAATTAACTGAAAAAAAAAATAATAAAATAAAATAAAATCTGAGCTGGACAATGAAATTGGGCGATGGGAACAGCCAGCTGTCAAACTTAATGTTGCGCCAACGCCCCGCTGTAATTGCAGGAGTAAAAGTTAAAGTGTTTGTGTGGGTTCCGGAAAGCTCCAAAATCTGATGTTGACGGCTTAAATTTGGTTGTCAGCCGCATAGGGCATTGCCAAACCAGGCCCCACTGCCAAGTGTACCACGTGCCCCCACGACCTTTTGTTTTTACGACAGCTCAGCACCACTTTCAGCTTCTGCTCTTTCTTTTCATTGGCTAACAACAGACCACAAGATACAAGTGTTCCTTTTTAAATTGAAAAACTTCATATTTTCTCAATATGTATAGAAGGGATAATCAATTTGTTACGGGTCGGTCAACCCAATCAAAATCTCAAATATTAGGAAATAAAGTTTACATATGCGTTATCTTTTTTTTTTTTTTTTTTTATATATAAAAAAACAACTAACTTGTTTTACCTGTTCAAATTACACCAATATTACCGGCTAATGTCTGTTTTAACCGGTAAATCAAATTAACTCATTTAAAAGAAATTACGTAGCATATGACATGTGTCTATTACACCCTTTGTCCATATTCGACTTCATTTAATAAGGGTGAATTGACCTCATTTAATTATGGTTCTTAACAAATACTCCCAAATCCTTCCCCAAATCGTTCCCGGTTAATTAACATTTCTCAAAAATCACTCGATCGAAGCAGTAGGAGCTTATTGTTTGGAATTGAAGTTGGAACTTGAAATCGTCGACTGTAGACACTACAATGGAATCACCTAACGGTACGTATCTCACTGTAGATTTTCACTACAACGAAAATTTTACACCAAACCCGTTAGTGTACTTAGACCCTATGAGAATGTCAGTTCGTGATGTGGATTTTGGTGGCATGAACTATAGAGAATTTGTGTTGTGGGTTACAAAGTTGACAAGATGAAGCTGTGATAATTTGTACTATTGTAGTACTCATGAATGATTCGCAGAGGGTATTAGAAGAATCGACAATGATGCTGATTATTTTTGAGTTTATTGAACATGGTTACATGGCTAAGAACGAGCTAAGAATGAACGTCTATATTGACCACCAAAACGAACCTATTCTTGACTGGGCCGATAAGGAGATGTTAACAGGTGATGAGGTGTCTGAGTTGGTAGAAGATGATGACACAGACTCACATATTTCAGATATAAGGGAATGTGAGCATGAACCTGATGAAGGGGTGCATACTTTTGACAAAACAGTTGATGATGAATGTTTGAACAAGTTGTGTGGTAAACCCATTCTTAATAGTAATCAAGAAGAAGTAAATGATGATGATGAAGTCAGTGATGAAGATGATGAAGTTGTGTTTCCTGTCTTTGATAAGAATCGAGAATGGGATAAAATGGTCCCAGTTTTTGGTATGAAGTTTTCCAACCCTCTTGAATTGAAGCTGTGTCTAACCAACTATGACGTCAAGAATTGGTATGATTTATGGTATGCAAAAAATGATCATCAAAAGCTGTTGGAAAAATGTTGTAAACATAAGAAGAATAAGAGTTGTCCCTTTAGGTTGTAGGCAACTTGGATGAAGAATGAGAGGTCTTTTCAGATTAAGTCCTAAATTGATAGGCATAATTGTTCAAGAGTATTCAAATTTGGGTCCATTATAAGCTACAAATGGATTGGAACTCATTTCACGAATAAGATATTACAGAAACCAAAGACGAGCATTAGGAAATTGAAAGCTATGGTCAGTAAAAGGTTTAACCTGATAGCAAGTGTTGGACAATGCAGAAATGCTAGGAAATATGCATTTCAGCAGATAGAAGGTACTTTAATAGAGCATTATGCCAAAACATGGAGCTATGGAGAAGAGCTAAAAAGGACAAATCCTGGATCAACAGTTAAGATGGAGGTGGATGTGATGCCTGATGGAGAAACATACTTCTCAAAGTTTTATGTGTGTTTAAAGGGTTTGAAGGATGGATGGATAAAGGGTTGTAGGAGGGTAATTAGAGTAGATGGTTGTTTCTTAAAGGGCATATGCAGAGGTCAGTTGCTTGCAGCCATTGGGAGGGATGCAAACAACCACATATATCATGTTGCATGGGTTGTGGTTGAAAGTGGAAAATAAAGAAACATGGAAGTGGTTTCTTGATCTTCTGATCGATGACATTGGAATGGGAGTTGGGCATGGACTAATCATAATATCAGACCAACACAAAGTAATGTTCAAACTTTACTTATTGTTATTTTCCATACTTAATATGTTTTAGCTTATGCTTTATATGTATTGATTATAGGGATTCATTGAAGCTATGAAGGAAAGGGTTCCAGTTGTAGAGCATAGGCAATGTGCTAGGCACATCTCTGCTAATTTCCAGAAAATATTTAAGGGACAAATATTTAGGAAGCTGTTTTGGAGAGCTGCTGGATCTACAATTCCACAAAAATTTGAGTACCATATGAATGAAATCATGAAGCTGGAACAAGTAGCTTATGAACATTTGATGGGAAGGGACCCTAAAACCTGGTGTAAAGCATTTTTTCAGGTTTATAGGAGTTGTGATGCAAATGAAAATGGTGTTTCTGAAAGTTTTAACTCAGTGATTGAGGCTGCTAGGAAGAAACCACTCACTATCATGTTAGAAGAAATATGAATTTATGTAATGGAAAGGTTGTGTATCTACAAGACCAAGGGTCAATATTGGGATGTAAAAATATGTGCTTCCATAAGGTTGAAGTTCAACAAGCTCAAGTAACAAGAAAGGTAAATTTTTATTGCTTATATGTTTGACATTTTTAATATTTTCTAATTTCTATATGATTATGGATAGGTTTTGGCAAGTGGTACCTTCTGGTTATATGCAATTTGAGGTGAGGGTAGGGACTAATGAATATGCTGTAGACCTTATGTAACATCCGGATTTTCAGGGACATTATTGTGTATGTTAATCTTGAGATTTAAGGAGGGACTCGAC